ATTCGCTCTGCCCCGAGGATTAGATGCCTGCAAATGGTAGAGAATTGAGTGCGCTTCTTTGCTATTTTTAGAAAATGCGCTCTATAAGGGAATAGCATAGTCAATACTGACTGCACAACCAATTTTAAGCGGTAAAATTAAAGGTAATGCACTACCCTAAATTATCACATAGGTTATTTGAGTCAGGGGGGCATGAGAGGGGCACATTTGGTGCGCATTTTCGCATTTTTGGTGTATAAACCACTGTTTGCACCATATCTTTACCAAAAATAGGTCTATCCTGATGTTCTTGGTGTCTACAGAAAGCTAAAATTATGTATAATATTATCGCATAATTGTTTTGTCCATTAAGAGGTGTGGTGTAACGAAATAAGCCATGGATGAGGCCAGCAGAGCCTATTTTGATCCCCCTATGTCCGCATTGGGAATGAGCACAGCCACAACCGGAAGGCGGATTCTCCGAGGCGAGGACATCAAGAATTGATGGATCACATCAGTGACATCATTCTCTGATGTCATGAGCTGTCAAATTAAAAATAGCTGTGGATCTAAAAAAAGCGCACTGCCAAGGTAATGTGGCACCCCATACAGGCCAATTCACCTCCTCCCCCATACCAGATTGTCCCAGAAAGGATGCAGAACAGTCCCCGGGTCTCATCAAACCCCTCCCAAGCCTTTTCCGTCACTGAAACGGTCATCCCCAGCCCTCCCCAGCAGCAGGGGGTGGTCTGGGGTCCATGGATGGGCAACTCCCCACCCTGATGCATCCAGCATTCTGGGGAGTTCCCCAGTTTTAAATGCTTCACTAGCTGTATTGGCTGCGACTCCTGTCTTTCGTCCTCCCCCTGTCATCGATGAGGGTGTTGAGGGTGACGTTCCCATGCAGGCAGTGGACGACCTTGGTCGCCCGGCCTCCCCTTCCCACATCCCTGCTTCCAAGAAGCGCAAGGGTGTTGATCGTCTGGTCCCACCTCCTCCTCAAAAGAAGAGCAAGGTCGCCTACTCCTGCCCTGGTCTGCCTCTGCTGATCAATCACACCACCAAACCCAAGCCCCATCCGACGACATGGGCAGGGATTGCTCGTCAGGCCGCTCTGATGCCTCCCCTGCCTCCTGGCTTGGGACCGCAACATCGCAGGCCTTCTCCTCCTCCCTCATTCCCGACAGGGCCAATGAAGACTTCAACTCATCACTCCATCCCTTCTTTTACTTCCGAGGGCCCCACCCGGAAGCAAGTCCTTGTGTCATTTGGGGGTACCCCTCCCAACCTCACGAAATTTTTCACCAAGTCAGCCGTCCGTGCGGCCAACGGGTATCTCAGGGATGGTCGATCCATGCTGAAGGTCACCTCCATCGTCCACGCCTACGCTCTGTTGTTGGTCACCCCTGCTGTTGCCAGCCCGTCCGACCTGGACATCCTGCACAATTTCATCCACAAAAGCCTCCCAACGGGTACCCCGTTTGAGGTTGCGCTCCCGTCATCGACATCTTTCATAAAGATCCTTGACGTTCCCTACTT